TGTCTTGCGAACCCTGGAGTTTTGAATGTGGCTCAACACTTTTCAGGGGAAGCTTTTCATCATACTCAAGGAGCAGAGCAAAAACACGTGAGAATGTGGATTGAGGATAAGGTATTGGAGTCATTCCTCCGGAGATGCTGACAAATGAGCCAACCGACTCAGGTTGCAAGCATTCGGATCCGTCGTACAAAGACACGCCAAGAAGCTCAAATTGTCCCGTCACTCGTCGCCGTTAACCCTCGGCCGTGTCACCGTCATGATACGTGTATTCATTCAGCACCCGCAACTTCAAACGCTTACTTCTGCATCATCAACTGGACGAACTCGTTGTCTGATGTGTGTTAGCATCGCACTTGTGATATAGGCAGCTGTAACCTACAGTCGATGCGGCCGTCACCGTCCTGGTCAGCCTCCCGGATCATCTCGTCGACCTCGTCATCGGTCAATTTCTCGCCAATAGAAGTCATGACGTGACGCAGTTCGGCGGCGGAGATGAAACCGTTGTTATCGCGGTCGAAGACCTTGAAGGCTTCCCGGATCTCCTCCTCGGAGTCGGTGTCCTTCATCTTGCGGGCCATCATGGTAAGGAATTCTGGAAAAGTTAGCTGTGGTACTTTGGACTGGTATGAAGGGGCGCACCTGGGAAGTCAATGGTGCCGTTGTTGTCGGCATCGACCTCGTTGATCATGTCCTGGAGCTCAGACTCGCTGGGATTTTGGCCGAGCGAGCGCATGACGGTACCTAGCTCCTTGGTGGTGATTTGACCTGTGGCGCATCGTCGTCAGTTGTGCTTGCTATGGAGTAGGGTGGATGTCGTGGTGTTGTAGCTGTGGGCGGTGGTTTGGACCCCTAGCCAGCAAGCCTCGCCCGGGCCCCTCTGCCGATTGCGTAGGCTGGAGATGCGGCACTGCTTTGAAGGCAGAGAGGGAGAGAGAGTGTGTGTGTGGAAGGGAATTTGGAGGGAGAGTACTGACCATCGCCATCCTTGTCCTACAACACGACGTCGTCAGCTGCATGTTCGTGATTGCGCAGGCCCCCAGGGCTACCAGGCAGCCGCGCGGCATGGCAGAGGATGGGGAGGGCACTTACGAACAGAGAGAAGGCCTCCTTGAACTCGGAGACTTGCTCCTCGGTGAGAGAATCGGCCTACATGGACCTGTTAGCGATGCGCGAGGGTGCTGGCGGGCAGGCTATCGTGGTGTTTTGCAGGGCGGGGTATGTTTGGGAATGTGCGAGGACGGCGCGGGGCTACACACCATGATTTCTTTGGGTGGTGTCTGGCAGGAAGGGGGAGGGAGGTTGTTGGTCGAGTACGGGTGTTGGGCTGGGCCGGGTTTGAGATATAGCAGAGGCGCAGGTGCGGTGTGAAGGAGATGCCAGTAGTGTTTGCGGCTGGAGAAGATGGGCTGGAGTGGAGCAGGCTGTCAGACGGCCCTATCTAGTGCGGCCCTGCTGTTGGGAAGCTGGCGCTAGCGCTGCCCAGAGCGGGAAGGCGGCTTCAGCTGCACCGCCCAGACACGTCTACCACGCTGCGAATGCGCCTCACTCCAAAAGTCGACAATCCACAGCTCGCGTCGTCATAGCCCTCCATCTACTCCTCGTGCCCTGCCATGACCTAGCCTTGTTGACCCTCGCCAGCCCAGCATGTGGCGGGACCGAACCAACCTGTATGCTGCTGCTACCGCTTCCGACCACCCTGCCCTTCCCTCGCTGACGTAGCTGCGTAGCTTTATATCCTACCGCCAGTCCTACTCCCACCACCCCCAGAAGAAGACGCGCTATGGCGGCCCAGGCTCCAATGGCTTCGGCGACAGCAGGCGCATGTCCGACGAGCGGCAGGGGCTCATGGCCAGCGGCGCATACGAAGACGACGGCGATGCTGTGATTGAAATGGACCTGCTGCCTCCACGATGGCTGGATATCCAGGACGAGATCACCGAACACCTAGCCGAGATAGCCAAGCAAACACGCAAGCTCGACCAGCTACACCAGAAGCACGTGCTGCCGGGCTTCGACGATGAAGACGTCAAGAAGCGGGAAGAGCGGGAGATTGAACAGCTCACCCAGGGCATCACACGCCTCTTCCAAAAGTGCCAGCTAGCCATCAAGCGCATAGAGACCATGGTGCGCGAAGCCAAGCAGCAGGGCAATATCAATCAGGGCGAAGAGGTCATGGCACAGAATCTCAAGATCTCCTTGGCTACCCGTGTCGGCGAAGTGAGCGCCATGTTCCGCAAGAAGCAGTCGGCCTACCTGAAGAGTGAGACATCCCCAGTACAAAACTTGGGCAATGCTGATTATTTGTCCAGAACTACGCGACCTCGGTGGTTTTACCTCGCCCTTCCGCTCCGCGACACCCGTGCAGAACCCCTACAACGACCCTGCCCTGCAAGAGTCCGATGCCGATCGCTCCTTCTCGCAATCCACGCTCCTGCAGACAAAGCAACAGCGCATGCGACATGACCCCAACGAAGCAATCATAGCCCAACGCGAGCGCGAAATTGAAGACATCGCCCAAGGTATCATTGAGCTAGCAAACATCTTTCAGGAGCTACAGACCATGGTCATCGATCAAGGCAGCATGCTGGACCGCATAGATTACAATGTAGAGAACATGTCGCGAGACGTCAAAGAAGCGGACAAGGAACTCAAAGTGGCGTCGGGATATCAAAAGCGAACCATCAAGAGGAAGATTATGTTACTGTTGGCTATCTTGATCGCGGGTGTCTTCATACTGTTATCGCTCAAGCTGAGCAGAAGAGGCGGAAACGATGCGCCGGCCGCTCCACAAGTGCCAGACGTCCCGCCGGCGGCAGCGATAAGAACCAGACGGCAATCAACCAGCATGCGCACGAGTCGCGTATGGCACCGAAGAAAACGGCGGTTATGGCAGGGGATCGAAGACCACCCTTTGACGCTCTGAGGGCCGTTCTTTTAGAAATGGATAAATCATGATTGCTGCCTCGTACCGTCCAGTCTCACCGTGTACCTACTAACCTTCGATGACTCTCTATCAAACAGGCGGTTCTACGCATGTGTCCACGTTCCAAGTACCGTGCTCAGACTCGTCGAACAGTTTCGCTTCTTCAGTGGATGCCCAAAGGTTGCGATCGCCGGATCCGTTCAGCAAGCTCAAACTTCATTATGCTTAGTCTAGAGTCAGTGGCGCGTGGCTGTTGAACAAAGACGGCCATCGCCATGTGCCTCGACAAAAACCACGACTGCCTTTGTAGCCCGCATGCGGAAGGTGCAAGGTAGGAACACTATTGCAGTCTTGCTGAACAAAGACTCCATGTTTTGGCAGTCCAAAGTTTGTTTGGAGAGGCTGTCTATACATCTCATGCTGCTTTGCGTGTGCTGCTGGAGCTTCTGACAACCTTCATAGTATTTTGGGTTCTTCTAGGACACCGGAGCAGTTTACTCCTCATCATGAACCTGAAGAGAAGCAAATTCTGGCCCCCATTTCACATCAAGCCCAGGCACCCAGGACATTGGCCCTTGAGCGAGGATGTTACCACACGGATTTGTCGGTATGCAGGCAGACAGGCCAGTGCTATGCTCTATATTGCTCTATACAAGAACAGAGTAGGCGGCAAAGATGCAAACGTAGCCCTGCGAGCTGTGTATTACGAACCATTCACGTACTGGGACTGGCATGGGGTGGATGCTGAAGATGAAAGCGCCTCCAAACACAAGAAACAGCTTGTTTGGGAGCGTCAACGAGGCTTCACAGCTGCCAAAGGTGAAAAGGGTGGATACCCATATCCTCAAGAAGCATGGCAACGATTCCGACACCTAATCGATAACCATGCAGAGAGGCGCCATTGGGTTGCGAAGATCGCAGTGGCGCATTGGATGAATATAGAGGATCTGACGTGGTGAGTCTTCTCTAGTTCGTATACATCACAAACAACAAAAAGACCTTTGGCTTCCCGCAATCCTAACCGAATTCGTGCGACTCTGAAGCCGATTGCTGACATTTTTCCAGGATATTCCGAAATCTGCCGTCGCTTGAAGCCCTGGATTTGAGCGATATTGCACTGTTCACAGTCCAGCCATACAAGGGCTATGCAAATGAGCCTCCGTTAACTATGACTGACACATGGGCATACTTTTTTCTTCGTATACCCAGCATGTGTCCTGTAAGAGAGACGGCGCCTAAACTGAAATGGCTTGGTATTCCAGATTTCCGAGATGTTTCACTTGTCGCTCCGCGGATCCTGCTCGATAATTTCCTACCGCTTTGTACGAATCTTCAAACTCTCTCTATCCGCGGGAAATATAGGGAAGAAATCCCACCACCGAGCCTTAGTGGACACGAATACGTTTGTGATTTCATCAGGGGCATCAAGACACGTACCCCGTCCAGCGTCACGGCTCTTGAACTCCGGCTTTCGATTCCTTTCTTACATCAGCTACTAGTCGCTCTACATGCCGAGGACAGGCTGAACATAGATCAGATAGGTCTTGATCTTGGAGCCTGGACTCAGATATACCCTCTCAGGAATACTTCTACGGAAATATCAGACAGTGATGTCATATCAGCAGCTTCGAAGGCAGCTTCGAAGGCCCGTTTTGATATCTACGAACAACAACACAACAAGCTCCTATCTGCATCATCGAGATGGCTTTTGCCAGCGCCAGAAGACACTCCCAACATGTCAGATGTTTCGAGTTCTTCTGGAAGTCCCGCATTCGAGAGGCTCGACGCAAGGCCTACATTCCAGAACGAGCCATATAAAGCGAAGGGAGGGTCAGATATTCGCAATTACACGTGTGATCGGAGCAAGCTCGAAAGCCGGAAGAAATGTGGAAACAAAGACGAGAACCACCACAAAGAACTACTCGGTAGCCTTGAAAGGACACATGTAAATTCTTTGCCATCCATGTTGGTGAAGCTGCATGACGCGGGTCGAATTGCTGCATCTCAGGACTACAGTCTATATTCACTGAATCCTGAATGGCAGGTCAATAGCACGATTCCCCTACATCCCTTCACCATGATCCAGAAGTACCAACCTGTTCCTACACTATCTATGGACCAGGGTCGGGACTACAAACAGCTGACAGCAGATCGACTCAAAGAGGCATACACTTGGTTGAAAGCGACTTTTGCATGGCGGCCAATCTTCGACTGGGACTACTTTGTAAGTTGCGGTATGGAAAGTCCGAAGGAAAACCTGGACGTTGCATTCTCCAGCTTGGAACAACAATACAAACTTGGCAACACAACTAGGAGTACGAATGAGGTACTCTTAGGTGAAGTTTCTAGGCAATTTCAGATCATGCGAGACGCCGGCATACCAATCCATCTTCTCATGGGCCGTCGCAACCCTGATGGGTCCAGCCTGTACTGGGGCTGGCCTTACAACTCAGACGCGTGGGAGAAATCGCTTAAAGCGCCGCTTGATGCTGGTTTGGGAACAATAGCAGCTCAAATCGATACCTTGAGTATTTTCTACGACCTACGCAATCCTCTGGACGAGCAGCGTTTGGAAGAGATTGATAAAAGGCAACCGTATCGACGACCCGAAGCATATTGTCCTCGCCCAAACGGCCCTTGGCACCTTGCTAAGAATAGCCCATTCAAGAAGCAATGGCAGGATCGACCATCACGAATATCGAAGCGCAATACCCAGAAGACGGCGAACAAGAAGATTATCGGAAAGAAAACTCGCATCCCACTGGCCAACAACCTCGACTCATGTCCTCCGGCCGGGGAGTACGCCGATGAACACTTATACGATGATCCCGAGACGGACAGATCCATACCAGAGACCTTGCACCAGGTCGCCCGTCGTGCTGCATTTGAGCGAGAAGCCGTTGGTTGGCACCGATTCTGGACCGAATATGCACCTCAAATGACGAACTTGAAGGAACTACGGTTGCGAATGTCTCAGAACTTCGATAGTGTGGGTAGTTGGAGTCTCCGCCAACTTCTGAACCCAAAAGAGACCTGGGTAATGTTTGGTTATGCGGACGAGCGTGGCCATATGCAGACCCAAGAAGATCTCCTGCATCACGTCGCGAACGACTTCAGGCTGCATATGCATGCAGCACAAGAAAAGATATGGCCTGGTGGCCGTTTTGTACGACGCAGTTGGATCCTGTGGACCCCTGAGCCTACAGGCACTGCTGAACTTGCTTTGCATAGAGGTACAAATGAGGCGAGATGCCCAACATCGCATCCATCTTCGAGCAACAAAACTACTGACCTATACAAAACACACAAGCTGGCAGGAGATAGGCGCGAAAAAGAACAGCTTCAAAAGGCCATCAAGCAAGCACGAGAGACAGCACGAAAAGAAGAAGAACTTGAGGCTTCACTTCTACTCTCCTCATCAGAAGATCTTGTAAGAGATCCTCCAGCAGTGATACCAAGGTCAGAAGACATTGAAAGAAGGCTGACAGGAATCTACGGTCGCCACGTTCGTGGTATTGCCCAGAGAACCTGGCGCGCTGAAATGCGAGGTCACATCGAACAGCTGAATGAGGATGTGCACGGAAGAGACGAAACTGTTCATAGTCTTCGTCGAGTGGGCGCCGTATCACAAGTCGAAGACGCTACGATTGCACGAAACATACTGCGGGATACTCGAGAACTTCTGCTAAAACGCATGCATGACTTCCGTCCAGAAGACATCTTTGTGCCATGTGATTGCACAGAACATACGAACGGCTTGGAGCTTGTGAATCACATGACTGACTATGCTGCCGAAGAGCGTAAACGGCGAGGAGAGCCAGTGCAAGAGGACGCACATCGAACAGAGAAGCCGACTTCGAGATTTCCGTCTACAAACACGAGACCTGGTGCCCTTCCACGCGGTCCACAGCATTCGCGGACAAGTCCTATTGAGAACAGCTCAGGAAAATCTAGTTCGGAATCCACAAGCTCAGATGAGGACGATCCTTGGCTGACGAGATTCACTCCTGCAATGCAAATCAAACGGATCACAGCAACTCAGACTACCACAGCTCAGCAGGGCTCCGAAGCTATCTATACAACGCGAAAGCTTGAGCTAGCTCAGCAGTCAGCCAGTGATATTGCTACTGGACAAAATGAAAGAATTCCTAAGTTTGAAAGGAAACCCAACAAGGAATCGAATGAGAGCGATCGAGCCGCACACCAGACATCTGAAGACGTTGGATTCACACAGAGCACAGTAAAAGGAAGGGGTACAGAAGAAAAAGGAAGGTTCGAAGAGCAAGCTGTTGAAAAGAAGAGGCTCATTGAAGAGAAGAAAGCTGCCATCGCAACAGCAGAGGCGGAGAAGGAGGCCAGGATTGCTGCTGAGAACAAGGTTGTCCAAGAAAAGAAGAAGAGAGATGACGCAAAGAGTCAGAATGCTGAGATCAGGAGGCAGGTAGAAGAGGTTGGAGCGGCTGCTAAGAAATTAGCCGCTGACAAGAAGGCCGCGAAAGAAGAAGCTAAACAGAAGACAGAACATGTGAAGAAAAAGGCTGCCGCGGAAAAGAAAGAACTAATGAAGCAGGCGGACGCAGAGAGGAAGAAGGTAAAAGATGCCATAGCTGCCGAGAAGAAGAGAACCGCTGACAATGAGGCCGCGAGAAAGGAAGCTGAACAAAAAGCTGCCGATGAAACCGCAGAAGCTACCGAGATAGCAGCTGTCAAAGCAAAAGAAGCTGCAGCAACTATCAAGGCCGTCAACAACGAAGGAACTCTTGATATCGTTCCAACGATCGAAGGAATTCTTCCAGGCAAGCCGACTGAGAAACCGACCAAGTCGCCTAAGACTTCCAAGGAAAAATCATCAAAGATCCTGAAAGGCACAAAACGTAAACAGCCTTCTCCTGATCCATTTGAAGATGACGCTGTCGATGAAAGAGAACCTGTTAAGAAACCTCGTCCTAACAAAGGAGCATCAACGACGTCCACACCTGTTAGACGTAGCGCGCGTCTTCGCACACAGACACCAACGAAAACACCTACACCGCAACTTGAGTTCCCATCAGATGTTAGTGTCACTGAGAACAGTGAACATGATATTGAGGACGATGGTAAGAGAAAGAAAAGCAAGAAGGGGAAGAAGGATGTAGATGACTATAAGCCACCTAGTAGTACGAAGAAGAGGACTCCGACGAAGGTTGCAAAGGCAGCACGGGAGAGAGCGATGGGTAGCAAGGCAGTAACGCTGGCTAAGGGGAGAAAGAGAGCTGCTGATGAGGAAGAGGAAGAAATAGAGGAGATTACGAAAAAGAAGCCGACCCAGAAGTCGGTCAAGACGCCACCCAAAAAGAAGGTGAAGAAGGCCGATGGAGATGATAACGAGTTATAGGGATGAATCTTTCATCAACGTTTCCTCTTTGACGTTCTCGTAGCTTCAGCCGCTACAAGCTTTTTTGTTCTTGGAAAATCTATCAAACACTATCTGTGCCGTGACTTTCATTCAGCTCTCAAATACGGTGAGTACGCATGAGGATGCAGAGATAATAAAAAAAAAAGTGATTGAATCGTCCTTCTGAATCCTTGAAGCAACCAAGGCCAGAGAGAATTTTAGGGGAGATTTCGTTGACCTGGAGGAGGCCGGGGCGAAGACATAAATGATAAGCGTGAACATGCGGTCATGAATTTAAGTCTCGCGGTACAGAATAGAACAGATTAGCGACGAGTGTGACCGATTCGTAAATTTTTGCGATGATCGGTTTGGTCACACAGCTGTAATATGTTCAAATCTACAAATGACAGTCAAAGCTTCTTGTACAAGAATGAGGTCTTTGTATATAACGTTCCCAGCCAACCAGAAGCAGCAGCTCCGCCAGCTCAGCCGCATGATCCCCTCACCACTCACCAGGCTGAAATCTTCTCTAGTCAGCCTTGAATATCTCTCATTATCTCGCAACTAGTCGGACAGCGTTGCAATCATTAGTGAAGGCTCACGCACACACACATCATTTGATCCCAGCCACTTGCGACTACTAGTATCAAACATGAACGCAACGATGGCAGCTACACAACCGCTTCTCGATTGGATCGCAGCACATCCCTATCAAACAATGTTCCACGTCGTCAACGGCGTCGTACTTCTCACGCCTGCAGCCGCTACTGTACCTTTCTTCAACGCACTTGGATTAAGTGCGGGAGGGCCCGTCGCGGGTAAGTCGCTGCCTACTAGGTACCCAGAGGCTCACACTGTATTCGATACTGATGATATCGCAGGCTCAGCAGCAACTTCCATCATGAGCTTCTTCGGCTATGTACCCGCAGGTGGCATCTACGCGACAGCTCAAAGTGCAGCGATGGGCGGATATGGCGCGAGTATTGCCGCCGGAGCAGCACAGGCAGGTGCGATGATGAGCTCTGGAGCTGCATGGCTGTTCGGACGCAACGGCACTGGGGTCTAGGCATCCATATATCAGAATGGACGATCCAGCGTTAGGGTAGCACGACGTGGAGCGGATATGGTATGCGTTGCGAGAAGAGGAAGTAGATGGCCAATGACGTGTTACCTCGGCTCGGTTGCTCCTTCACGCCAAGGTCGTAGACTCGACTTGTATGATCAAACATGCCTATCATATAGAACGCCTTACACCGTCCTTTGCCTTGCCTGTACTATATGAACTCTGATGCGGAAGAGGTGTTGGCCTGCTGATCTCACTACCGCATCGTTGACAGCAAGCTGTACTTAAAGTCAACATACAGAAATGCAGCCAGCAACCTCCCCACCAGCAGCAGATATCGCAAAACCACTATCCGATTTCCAAAAGATAGGCCACAACACATACCTCTGGACCTCGCCGCCATACTTGTCTCAGCCCGGAGATCAAACACCACTCATCCTCCTCTTCGCCTGGAACGCCGCGGCTGCAAAGCACATTGCCAAATATACACTCACCTACAAAGAGTTTTTCCCCACATCCCGCATCTTACTAGTACGATGCTTCACTCAAGACATGTTCCGCAGCGCCTCTTCCTATAGCTCTTTACTCCAGCCAGCAATAGAGCTTGTAGCCGAACACACCACTGCAGGAGGCGAAGTCCTCGTCCACAGCTTTTCAAACGGCGGCGGAAATCAAGTCAATGAGTTTGCGAAGGCTTGGAAGAAGAAGTATGGCACAGTACTGCCGATGCGAGCACAGATTCTCGATTCTAGTCCGACAAAAGGTCCATGGATGAAGAGCCACGCAGCGATATCTGCGTCTCTTCCCAAAAGTATGTTTTGGGTTTGGTTTGGTGGGGCACTGGTACATCTCTTGCTTGTTTGTACATTCATTGCCGATAAGTTGATGGGAAGGGAGCATATGATGGTGGTTTTATGTCGGCAGCTGAATGACGAGTCGGTATTTGATACGAAAGTGCCACGTGTGTATCTATATAGCAAGGCGGATCAGATGGTGGGTTTCGAGGAGGCAGATGAACATGCTGATATCGCCAAGGCAAAGGGGTGGGATGTGACCAAGGTTCAGTTTGAGAAGAGTCCGCATTGTGGGCACATAAGAGAGGACCAAAGAAAATATTGGACGGCGGTTGTTGTAGCTTGGACGAAGGGGCCAAGGGACAAGTAGAGCCACTGGCTAGTAGGGATGCCAGTGTAATGTAATGTTCATGCTGAGATGGCAGTATCTCGAGCGTGAACAAATGCATTGCATGTCCGTATATCTATAATCTAGCTGCCACCAGCGAGAGGTAAATGTTCCATAACAGACCACAGAAACTGAGGAAGACAATGCGGCGCTCGACGGGGACAAAGGTCGTGCTGAAGAAGTTGGCAATCGGCCAGACTTTGTATGAATCGAAGATGAGACCAAAAAGCTCCTATCTCATGTATTAGCCATGTACATGGAGACGCTTCATTGGAGGGGCGTACTTACGTTTCTGAAGTCTTGTACAATCAATGCCACAGTCTTGCCCTTCATGAGACCGATCAAGATCAAGAACATGGACTGATTCAGCAGGGCGCCCATGGTAATACACTGCTTATTGTCAGCCCTTGCCCACGACGGAAAGTGAAGAGTGAGCCACGCACGTCTGTGAACCATTTCCTAAAGATATTCCACCAATTCCTTACTCTGACCTCTTCTTCCACTATGCTTTTTCCATCCCCATCCTCTCTCAGCATTATGCCCTTCTCCTCTTCACCTTCCCCTACAGCCCTCGTCTGCCTAACCGTCTTCCAGCCCGGAAATGCGCGCTCGAGCCAATTCTGCCAATGGTAGTTGATGGGTGCGGTGAGTACAACCATGATGGCGAACTGGGTGAAGAGAACACGGTCGAAGACGAAGGGCTTTGATTCGTTCCATGCTTTTAGGCGTTGCGCAATAATGTTGCTGCACGAGTCTATGGCGAGGGCGGAGAGACAAGCTACAGCGATCGGGGGTAGCTTCATGATTGCGAGGAAGGTGGGAGAGAATCGGCGGGATGGTGAGAACGTTGAGGATTGGTTGCAGGACCGATTGTGAGATGCGGATCAGCGAGGCCAAGTAAGCATCGGATTACGCGCGTGTTTCGACGAGGAGCGGCGCTCAGGCAGGTCGGCGTAGAGCGATGGTCGTTGAGGTGGAAGAGGAGAAAAGCAAATCAGGACGCGGCATTGCAATCTGCTATCGCTGCGCCGTTGAAATGCGACTCCACATTTGTTGGTGTTGCTATTGCGCGTCCGTTCGGTGCATCTGAGCCCGAATCAGATGGTGGCTTGAGGGGTGGCGCAACTGACTCGGCAGTTTTCCGTTCTCCCATAGGTACCAAAACTCACTCTTGACCTTCCACTACTCACCAGGCTCTTCACTATCCTGCTAGGCAGGTACCGGGATGCAGTTCCATTGGTATGAGACTGTGCGTGTGCTGCGGAGCTGTTGTAGCTGTTCGTCGAGCCCGCGGCGGACCGCAATCTAAACAACCTCGGAAACAAAGAAACCATGAACGTCCAATACTCATACTGACGTTTAACCTATCGGAAGAGCAAGGAGTTCGCAGTCATCCTCGAACAAAACAGAACAAGATACATACAAGTCGTAGGCCTCTTTCTAAGCAGGAAGGCGCATATCGTAATGTTAGTCCAAATTCCCAATAGACAGACGTTGGCTCGTGGTAATCCCAGATCCAGGGTTAGCGTCCTGCTCAACTTCATTCTGACGTTTTGGAAAATCGATCCGATTGCAATCGAGTTGCAGCCTCCATCATGTTTAACGCAAGACAAAGGCCCTAAAACAACGTGTGGATAAAAACAGACACGTGGGATCTTGTCCATCAAACTGTTCTTTTGGATATCTTCATCGCCCAAACCTCTGGGCGCTGTCTGTTTCCTTGGCAACTACAGTCCTTCAGAATTGTCTATTGAGTATTCATTTCAATATCTTCTCTCTCTCTCTCATTCTGGTCTCTATTAGTTGTTGACCGGCCCGAACCATACATGCAAGCCAGCCAAATTCCGCTTAACTCCATTGACGATGACATAGCATGCGCTAGACATCATCATTGCTCAGATAACGTCACCGTACAACCAGTTCCCCATAAACACACCAAACAGATTCTGTAGCTGCCATCGAAAAAGCATAATGTGGGGGCCGATCTCTGTACGTTGGCTGGAGATCTACCGAGGCTCAGTAATCGACTGTGGGTGGGCAGTATCGGCGAACATGTTGCGCCGGCGGACAACTATATTGTAAACTCTCTTCTCGTCAATTGGGCTACAAGACGCCAATTATAACTCATCTTGTTTGTACATTACACACCAAAAGAAACCACATCAATAATCACCATCATCATGTCAAATCAAGCAGCGTGGATCCCAGAAGCGAAGGGCCAGCTTCAGGTCAAGGAAGCTCCCATGCCAAAGGCGGGCAAGGGCGAGGTTGTGATCAAGAACCACGCAGTTGCTGTCAACCCCGTGGATTGTGAGTATCTGCACATGTGCGGTTCATTCAATTGTGCTGATTTGAGCAGGGAAAATCCAGGACTATGGAATCTTCCTGCAAAAGTACCCCAACATCTGTGGTACTGACGTCGCTGGCGAGGTTCACGAAGTCGGTGAGGGTGTTACACATGTCAAGAAAGGCGACCGCGTACTAGGGTTTGTCTTCAGTTTCATGAGCTCCAGCGAGAGAGTATACTGACAGCATGGTGCAGACATGCATTTTCCCTCGTTACCAACGACCCTGCGCACGGCGGATTCCAGCTCTACACCGCCTGCAACGCACTCGTCGTATCCAAGATTCCATCCGACATGAGCTTCGCGTCAGGCTCAGTCCTGCCTCTTGCCATTTCAACTGCAGCCGCCTGTCTCTATAAGAAGGAGACGCTCGGGCTACCGCTGCCATCCTCCAATCCCTCGTCTACAGGCAAATCAGTATTGGTATGGGGCGGCTCGAGCAGCGTGGGTGCGACGGCGATTCAGTTGGCGGCTGCATCTGGCGTGAAGGTTGTCAGTGTGGCAAGCAAGCACAACCTGGAGAAACTCAAGGGCCTTGGCGCAACAGCGGCCTTTGACTACAAGGACCCCAAGGTTGCCCACGACATCATGGTCGCTCTCGAAGGCACAGAATTCGCGGGTATTTGCGACGCCATCGGTACGCCAGATGCCGCGGCTGCCTGGACACCAGTGTACGAGAAGCTCGGTGGACGCTACGGCTCCGTCTTGCCCGCTGCGGAGGGTCTCCCCAAGGGCATCGAGGGCGCCAGTGTCTTCGCTCCAACTGTAGCGCTAGCTGACAAGTACATTGGCGATGTTGTCTGGGCGCAGTGGGTACCAGAAGCGCTAGAGAAGGGCACGCTGAAGGCTGTTCCAGAACCACTGGTGGTTGGAAAGGGACTGGATGCGGTAGCGGAGGGCTACAAGAAGCAGAAGGAGGGTGTCAGCTTCCGCAAAGTCGTCATCGAATTGTAAGCCTCGCGGACAGGACAACCCGCTAGCCTAAAGAACGAACATGGTATGAACTCAGGTCGAACATGATCATAAGCGCAGTCCCATGTGATATCACTCGAATGAATCTTCTGGAAACTTCGCCAATTATTACGAGCACATACCTTGGTACTTGACCATCAGGGGAGCTGTTCGCAGTCTCGGCGAAAGGTACTGCCGAACGGGCCCACTTTAAAGTTTTTAGCTTCCTGCACCTCTTCTCCAGTTCGCATTCTTCCTCTTCTCCAGTTGCCAGCATATAAAGTGCTGGCCGATCCGTCGCCTCTTTACTGACTACAGTATCCTCGTGTTACCCACTCGTTCCTGTAAGTACTACCACACATCTTCACACCCTTACCCTCCCCCGCACTATGATGAAAAACGTTCCACATTCGCAGTTTCCACGCTAGCCATCAATCGAACCTACTTTAGATGGTCAATGAGCGCGAATACCTTCCTTGGATGTCTGATTTGCTTTCCATCTCTACATTACAGTTACGATGCCTTTTCACGAGCTTTCGCTGACTTCCAAAAGATATTTTAGTTCCTGAACATAGCCCACTTGTATGCTGCTACGGACAAGGACCTAGGCAACTCAGTATGTTGGCCACCAGGTTCCGGTCACTAGACATTGGCAAAGACGTAGTTGAAGTCGGAGTTTTGACTAGTTCATTCAATACTCATATACAATTAACACCAAGAATACCTCTGCTCTGCCTTTCCAATTCAACATTGTCCATCATGCTACTGCGCCTCGTTTTTCTTGTCATCTCTGGTTCTATCTTTGCACGGGTATAACATCTGCTTCGCACTCCAGTGTCGATCGTTTAAAGCATAAAGAAGGTGAAGAGACCGGTCATACCAGCGAACATGGCGCTGCCGGCGAGATGAGATGCAGCGCCTGTCGCTGCTGGAGAAGAAGATGATGATGACCCAGATGTGGAGGTGCCGTTCTCGGACAGGTTGCCGCCAGAGCCGGCGGTCGATGTAGGAGACACATTCTCGGTGGCCTTCTCAGAGGCGTTCTTGAAAGCCTCGATAGTGTTGGGACCGGAAGCCCTAAACAATGTCAGTCAAAGCAGGCGTTCTTAGAACTCGTGAGGACTTACGGTGGGTTGATAACACCGACCATGCCATTTTGGCAGTGCTTGCCCTGTGTGCAGTAGAACCAGATAGGTGCCGAGGCGTTCTTGACCTCGTATGTAAAGGTTGTAGGCGCAACAGCCTCCATGTCGGTCGTTGGGACGAAGCCACTCCAGAAGCCATTCTGCATGGGCTGGCAAGGGTTGGCAAAGGTAGCTTGGGCGACGGAGTGGTTCTTGGGCCAGAACGAGAAGGTGACAGTGTCGCCCTCAGCGGCCTTGAGGCTGTCTGGCTTAAAGACAAGATCACCGGCCTTGGTACCGACAAGGACCTTGTGGTCCGCTGCAAAGGCAGCGCTGGCCATGGCCGAAGCAGCGAAGATGGTGGAGAAATGCATTATGATCGGTTTGTTCGGAAAAGAGACTAGCTCGTTTTGGTAATTAAGATAATGCGGGAAGAAACAAAGGGATGTCTTGGTGTGTAATTGGTAGTGAGAAGTGAAGAACGTGGACCTGCCTGCCGAACAAAGGTGAGCACATTTGCGAGCATTTTATAGTACAAAGAGAGAAACAGTTGCCGCCCGTCGAGCGGATGAGTCGGTATACCCATCCCATGGCATAACAGCTTCGAGACTTCAGGCGTCGCGAAGGCATGCTTTCTTGACGCCTGAACTTTCCAAGCGAGATCTGGGGAAACAGGGCGGTCAATGCAGTGCGTTGTTACTGGCCATGTTTGCCGTGGGCGCCTCTATTCAGCCACTTGCCGCTCGCGTACGACCGTTTCTTGCCTTAGGCCGTTGCTGTGGCTGTATGAGAGCCAAGACTAGACCCTGATTTCTACGGCAAACGTGTTTCTGGCGAAGGGATGAAACTCCGTGTTGAGCGTTGATGGAACACGGCGTGTTTTAAAGAGCGTGCACGGAACCCGAACACTATTCTAGCCTCGCTCCCTCACCCGTTGCCTCCATATCGACTGCCGTGACAGCGGACGCGTATCGTCGCGACGTCTGGGGCGCAGACAGTTGACAGGCCGTTGTATCCGCTGAGAGGAGGACCTCCGTGCGAACTCATACGCTTCGCGAAACGTGCGACAGCGCCTACAGCTTCCGGTGCTGACCTCGGGGCCTCGGAATGGTGCTACTCCACGTCTTCCGGTCGAATAGATCTCATGATATTGCATCAGCTCACCATCCGGCATCTTCCCGCTTGCGCAAAGCGTGGCGACAACTTTACTTGGGTCTAATTACTTCATGCCTTCGGAAGACGTCAAAGCGCTGGCGGAGACGGTGTCCCAGCACTCCGACGCTTTACCCAGTGGCTATGTTGAATCTCCACTCTTACGAGGTCGCGGTCCATGGACAGAACCTACATTATAATCGGGCTGTGCGAAGGAAAAGCTACAATTAGATGTCACGTGGTGACATTCGAGTGTTGCTTCAATGGTGAGCAGGCAGCCCATGTGCTGACCGAGGTTATCGTTGCTGGTGTGAGCGCTACCACAACGGCCAGCTAATTCGACTGCGCACTTCCCTGGGCAACAGCTATAGCTCCATCGTACAGCGCTGTAGCGGGTTATAGTCAGATCTCGTGTTCGTCGACGTGGCGTTGTTACCGCCCCTTCCGAGGCCATACCCAGTGCTCCCTCTTCTTTTGGTTACAACACCAGGCCTAACTCTCGTGAGATGTCTTTATCGTGCGCAAGTTCCGGCGGGGTGCAGTATTGTTTTATTGATCGCTGCCCATGGCTACCTGTTATGGCACATCGAATGTAACCATCCGTCAATGCCCGGACCTTTTTCCTCGCCTGCTGGACCCTTTACAGCTAGTGCAAGCCTCTCCCGCTGCTAGTCTTCCAAAAATATCGCAACTCTCCGCATCGACTCTCGTGTCTTTTGACGCTATGAGCTCATCTGTGCTAATCTACTGTGAAAACCGCTATTTCATGGTCATCTGCTTTGACCGTTGAAGCTAGTGTTGTGGAAATGGTAAGTGATTCCGGGATGTTGCTCGCACTCGCACTTCGTTACCCTGTCCAACTGCCATTGTGACGAAAGACGAGGTGGTAGCCTCGGATTGTAGAGTGGAGGCTTCGTGATGGTGAGCGGTATAAAGGATGATACGCTCGCAGCTGTAATAGGGCATCATCAGCTACCAACTTTCCAGCTTCTACTCTCCAATCTCCTACAGCAACCACCGTTTCGCCACACATCTCCATTCTCCAAGCCTCTACCCGTCTACCATCAACATTATGCAGTTCTCCAGCGCCATCTCAGCTGCCATCCTTGGCTTCGCCAGCCTTGCTTCAGCCATCACTGTCAGCTACGACACCGGCTACGATGATGGCAGCCGCTCCTTGACCGCGCTCGCCTGCTCAGATGGTGCCAACGGTCTCATTACCAAGTACAACTGGCAAACTCAAGCCAACGTTGCTGGTTTCCCTCGCATCGGTGGATACATGGGTGTTGCTGGATGGAACAGCCCTCAGGTATGTGCAGTATCTACTCCACTTTATCTTCACCGTCTAACAATCTATACCAGTGCGGAACATGCTACGGCGTCACCTACAACGGAAAGACCGTCTACGTTCTCGCTGTCGACCATGCTGCCCAAGGTTTCAACCTTGCTAAGGCAGCCATGGATGAGCTTACCAACGGCCAAGCTGCGGCTCTTGGACGTATTGATGCGCAATACGCCCAGGTTGCTACCAGCAACTGCGGATTGTAAGCACTGAGCTTCCATCAAAAGGACGATGACAAGCATCGAATAATGTTTATTTATGGGTTTCATGATGGGTATTGCATAGCATAGCGTTCCTTATTTGCATGCGGCGGCGTTTATATACACTCCTTAATCAAGTAATGGTCGATGTCCAAGGCAGACCTGCCTACTATCATGAGAATTCCTACCTATGTGATGCTATATCTGTGTGGTTCCCGATCTTGTGAGATCCACGGAGGCCATAAACAGCGACCCACAACCTTCATAGCTTTCTTTTCCTCTTCTATCGTAAATGTCGTAGTGGTGCTGTGGCAGGGCAGGATGAGCATCAGCTCAATTGTGTTAGCATTGTGGTCCATACCGAGAAGTATAGTTAATGTCTCAAATTTCTCATCACTAGAGCTATTTCTTGATTTTTCCAGATGTACAACTGCGACAGAAGGATTAGATTATTGGGGCTTCCGACTGCTGCTAGTTATCCAGAAATTGTTGTTGTTGCCGCATATACTGAAACACTCACATTACAATGATTGTTCCCTTCGAAAATGTGGCTTGGAATAGTCGTGTACAAAGGAAAGCAGTTAGCTTTACACACTCGACCAATACCATAATATTGCGGAGAACATTGGTACTGCTTGTACTTGAGTCGTCAAGAAGTTGGTTGAAGGGACACAACTGGTAATCGAGATGACTGAGAAGGCTTCGATGAGGCTACAGTCATGGTAGAGGTCAATGCCGATTTACGTCGTGCAGACAGTTGCAGATTTTGAGTGTGTGACATGAGCATTCATTCATGATTTCTATCTACTGACGTTAATCGTCATATCTCTATGAGATCTAAACACTTGGTGGTATATCGCTGTTCGAAAAGGAGGGTCGTCTCAAAGATGACCAAAGGACTTTTATTGTGGAAACGAAATATGCATGTCCCAAGAGTACCGAAGCTACGCCCGCATAGCCATGCGCCCGTGACATGATATTAGATAGGATTTGCAAGAAAACTTGAGTGGTGATGGTGATCAAGCACCTCGAAACAGCACTTGTTTAACGAGGTGTTGAAGCAAGCAATCGACCAAGACTTCCACTGGCGAACGATGGCTCAGGGACCGGTGACTTGGCATAGACAATCTCGCCTTCGATTGTACTAGTAGACGTTTTTGATATGGATGCCGCTGACTTGTGCGAGTATGACTTTGGACTCGACGGAGCCGTTAATGGGGTAACCAGGTCGATCGACTTGGCTCCATAGGATCCACTATGCGACGGCTTTGTCCTAGGTGGGAGAGGCCTTGTAGTGGCGGGTGTGTATGGAAGCGAGTAGCTCACCGACGAGGCCGGGGTATGTGAGAGCGAAGGAGCGGCACTAAAGCTGATTTGCGAAGTGGAGTTACGGTTGTAGCGGGGTCGAACGGTATCAGGGAAGTATGCAGGTGATTGGAATTTGCGAAGGTATTTTGACGCGTCCGAATCAAAGCGCTGATACCGGTCGGCGCTGTTGTCGTCTGATGAGATGTCGGAGAAGGCACATGACGAGCGTTTTGACTCAGGCTGAGTGGGGGAGCGCTGAGGTACAATGTCGCGGAAGGCAAAGTCGTCGAAGGTGAAGTTGGCAAACGGCGTAGTTGGCGGTGAGTAATGATCGTATGAATAGGTAAGGCTCTTCTCGGTGTCCTTCTTCTTGCAGCTACATGTGCATGTTAGTGGATGGTCTGTGCATAGCTGAGTGGGTGTGTGCCATACCTTTCCGAGCAGTAGAGCACAGAGTTACTAGGAACAATAATTTGCTTCTCGCAGACAGTGCTACAACAAAACATTAGCACACAGTAGTGAGGAGTCGATGACGACAACATACCAGTAGTTCAAAAAGCTAACCGCCATTGAGTCCTCGTCTTCGTCGGATTCGACTTCCTTGTAATGAACGACTTTGGAAGCGGATTTGCTTCCGTGGGAATGAGTCCGCTTTGACAGAGGCCTGGAAGGCCGTGCGTGCGCAGGTTGCGACTTTTTGGATTGATGGGACGGGTGACGAACGTGATGCGTGGCCATTATGGATGTGGATGAACTTTAAAAGCCTCACTCTGATAATCGCGCACGGTGCACGATCTTGTTACAGGGCTGGAAGTCGGGCAGCGAAGAAGCGGTGACACAGGCCGCCGAGTTACTTGCTGCTGATATGACGGAAGGTTCGTGCGTGGCTTTGTTTAGAATCCTTATCGCTTGGGTTCTGCGCCAACGTTTTAGCCAGGAACACTATAATGGATGTCTAGATCGCGACGATGTACAAGGACGGAGACGGATGGATGGATCAGGCGCCCTTTGGTGGAGAGTAACAACAATGCGACACCGGGAACATGTAGACAAGTAACTTACCAGGACAAGATGAGGGACGTGCGACGTCGGGAGGGAGGATGAAAACAGGTCCCAGTACTTTCTGATAGGCGGTGCAGTGTATTCCCGGGGAATGACGATGCGCGGGCTGGGCTGGGGGCGATAAGCAGCAGTTCGTGAGAGAGAGCAAAGCCGAGTATTTCCACGAGGCAGGCGGCTTTCAGCGGCAGGGGAATAAGTAATGTATCGGGGATCGATAAGAAGACGAGCGAGGGACTGTGGTCAATAAGTAATTACGAGACCGGTGCCTGCGATTTCCGATGTGCAGTTCTAGAACGCGGTTGACGACGACGGATCTAAATATGCGGTCGGGATATGGTTGCGCGTGTGGGGATGATTCGTGATAGCCATCAAGATAGAGCCATTGATATCATCCAGCACGCCATACCGGCACCCGCTGCGCGCTGACTCCTCACCACCAACCCCCACTCGCATCCACCACGGTGCCTTGCTACAATTTAATTTTTCCCGTTGCAGCCACAGCGGGGAAGCCTGGCCATACTGCATCATTAAGCATCGCAGCGTTGTGCATACAGACGTCGTGGGCATCGTGTTGCAGCGAATGGCGGGCCGAAGCATGCACACGGAAATACCACAAGGTCCACGTTCTTGTGCACTTCGGTACAACTCGCAGCGGGTACCATACTACACACCACTGTCCATTCGGGTGCGTATCGCTGATGCGACATTGTCCCATCTTCTTTGTGTTGCGAGCTCTCTCAACACAATGAAGCCATATTGCGTGTGTCTCACACACTTCTTCATCCGGTAATCCGGCGCGGCCCCTCCTGCAATCAACTCACCACTCCGCTGTCGGACTTTGAACAGCGTTTTGCAAGCTCACAAATCTCACCAGTCGGCTTACGAGCCGCCCTACATCGTGTTTGTTCCTTGTCCATAATTCGCATGTCTGAAGCACCCTCCGCCTGAGTGACTTTTGACTGTGCATAAGCAAAATGCGGGTCCATTGTCTACTCGCGTAACTCTATCCTAGCGGCCGCGCAATGAAAGAGCCAACCGGATCTTCTAAAGTGCCCTCACCGTCTCGTCGACGATCGTGAATCATCAGAAAATCTCTTAGGCCTGAAACCAGACACCTTACTATGTGCAGCAGTCCACGATCGTCAGGGTGTGTGTGTGTACCCGCAGTAGAAGTCTAGCCTTCATATGTCGGTCAAGAGTTTTCTCTCTCAACATCACAAACCTCAAACAGAAAACGGGTCGTCCATGGATTGTCCTTTCGTGACACGCCACAGTTGGATCGGGGTCGAAGTTGGATAAAACGGCCCTTCCTGTTGATGTTCAGGTACCGGTGGGCAATTGACCTGCTCGAATCTGAAACGGTTCCGCTCTACCCCACAAAAGTCAGCAACAACTCACCCGATGTCGTAACATGGCCAGGAAAACAAGACGCGGAGAGACCCACTACACGCGTTCAAAAAAGTCTCGAACGTCTGCTCGTTGCGAATCGTCGCAGATATTAAGACTTCGAGTGCCGGGTTGATGTCAAAGAATTCTCCTAGGGTCGAGACCAGACGCGGTATGACGGACTTGTCGTATGTCTGCGACGTTGTTAAACCCACTTCTCCACGACGATGCAATAGCAATGGCTTACGACGTCTGCTCCCATCACAATATCTGGCACTTCCATGCCATAGTCTTCGGAAAATGTCGTCGCATCAACCGGATAGCCCCACTTTAACGCCGCTGTCCGTACCTGGACCTGAGACTTGTCATCGACATCGAGTCCATTGAGAAAGAGATTGGTTTTGATGGCATCGACAACGGCCTCGTCGCCGTCTGTAGCAACGACACCAGCAGCTCCCAGGTGCTTTGCGCAAAGGATTGACAACATGCCAGTTCCCGCGCCAAGTTCAAACAATCTCTTCCCGTAAACGGATGATCGGCCAGTCTCGGATGCAAGATGCGATCCGAGAAGCAACGCGGCTTCCCACGTCCTAAGACCAGTAGTTCCAGACGATGAGATGACGGATCGCGCTTCAAGCAGCGTTACTGCCCGCTCGTGCGATGTGCTGTCGTCATTTAATCGCTCAGGGTAAGAGTACGTCACAAATGCTTTTTGCTGAGCCGCGTCGGCCTCGGAGGGCAGATCAGCAATAAGCAGAGTAGTCATCGCTTCCATAATATCATCTGAGATTTCCTACAAACAGAACGAAATGAAAGGTCAGCACATGCTGGAACGTATCTTCGCCGTTGAAAGAAGGCTATTGCGACTTGATGTGTGGCTGAGCTACAGTAGAAATGAAGCAACGATGAAGAGATAGGAGACCATACATCCTCCTCCGGGTCAGTGATCGACCTCTCGAGTTTTGCGACGAGTTGTTTTAGTGTCCTGAGCTGGTAGCGCTCCGGAGGTGGTGAAGTGACGTTGGCTGTATCAAACAGATTCTTGAACAACCACGACTGCACCTCCGGCGCTTTCAACGTAGCATCATCTGGCCACTTGAGATTCTGAGGCTCTACCAGCTGGAAATACTGGCGTTGCAGTATGCGCAGTTGCGGCAGATTGCGAGGGTCGTCCATGGTGATGGAAGCTGTTTAGATCGAGACCGTATCTCTAATATTTGCAAAGCGCTCCAATATCTCTAGTGAGCCAGCTTGACTTTTGGCGAATGTGACAATGTTCGAGTTCAGCGCTCCCACTTGATGAGGGGGAGGATTTCCATGTACGTGCTTACCTAATTTTGCAGCGGGGCGGCTTGGCAGTCTAAGCGAGCAGACGCACCGCCGACCGCCGACACGTTGAACGCAAATTCGACATCTCCATCTTGCCGCCAGCTAACCACAGGTAATCGACAACAGCAAGATCGATCTCTGTCCAGTACGTTCACTACCGACCCAACTCGCCGTGTCGCTCTTGTGAATTCCGTCTAATTGCCGCGTTGCAGGTCGAATCTTCCCAACATGGCCGACTCTCAAGTTACTCTGCGCACGCGCAAGTTCATCCGCAACCCCCTCCTCGGACGTCGTCAGATGGTCGTGTAAGTGCAGGAACTGCCGGGCACGCAATTGCGGAGGATTGAGTCTGACGGGATTAATACAGCGATGTCCTCCACCCCAACCGCGCGAACGTTTCCAAGGACGAGCTCCGTGGCAAGCTCGGTGAGCTGTACAAGGCCAAGAAGGACGATGTCTCCGTCTTCGGTTTCAAGACACACTTCGGTGGCGGCAAGAGCACCGGCTTCGCTCTCATCTACGACAGCGCCGAGGCCATGAAGAAGTTCGAGCCCCGCTACAGGCTAGTACGCTACGGCATGGCCACCAAGGTCGAGAAGGCCAGCAGGCAGCAGCGTACGTCTCCCCTGCGTCTACAAACACTGCCGCAACTATGGCGATGGATATGGGCTATGGTACACAACATATACTGACTGGACAACAGGCAAGCAGCGCAAGAACAGGATGAAGGAGTTCCGGGGCACAGCCAAGACCAAGGGTGGTGCGAAGAAGGACAAGAAATAAGCGGGTGCACACTGATGATGACTACGAAGGTCATGGCTGGAGTCGATTGGCGGTTTCTCTACAACTACTGGTTCGCCTGGTTCTTCATCATGGTGGATACGGAGTTGCTTCTGCGGGCATCGGCATGTATATCTACGAGCGCCTGAAAAACTCTTGCGGATGGGAACGACAAGACGGATGGCGTTTGAGATCAATTGTCTGCTAACCATCAATGCATATCATGGACTTTACGATCCTCCAATTATTTTGCCACTCACTCCAAGATTTCGGATGTTTCCCTCCGGTCACACTGTTATCCTGTCTCGTGCACACCACAGGGAGGGAAGAGCCCTGAAGGTCAGATCTCTTACTTTCATATTTGATGCAACTTTTCATGATAATGTCGGTATGGTTTTCCATTCTGTTCTGCGTAGTCATCAGTCAAACCGTCGCCTTCTTCGCCTCTACAGTACCCACCCCTGGTGACCCAACCCCCACGGGCCGTCCGTTCTTCTCCCTCGCAGCCCTCCACTCCCTGTCTCTAACTTCTTTGGTACTTAAAATAGCCCTTGCATTTCTCTCCAATCCTTCGTCCCTCTCGCTTCCCAACCCTTCAAACCCATGAGCACCATCCATTCCAACATCCGCGGCAACCTGTGCCTCTAGATCCCGTTGCCGTGTGCGCAGTTGTTCAAGTCGACTTGTAGAGCAAGAAGGAGTGCGTGAACGTAGCATGAAGGCGTGGTTCGGAGACATCAGGCAATATCAGAACACGTAGAAGACTATGAAGCCGATGGGGACAAGGAGACCGACAGTTAGGCCGATCGTTGCGCCGGAGGATAATCCCATTTTGGAACGAGAGTTGCTCAGAGACGATAGATTCTTGTTGGAGATGCTCTGATAGTAGTAAGCGTAATGTTTCCAAGTCGCTGTGTGGTATCAAGCGTACTTGAACCGCGTTGTAGAGCCGAAGCTTCTCAAGGTAAATGGATAGAGCAACAGAGGGCAGAACACGAAGATGCTGAGGCTGTTGTATATAGAGCTTCGCTAACCTTCAATGCATTGTATCGTCCAGCGAACTGCCACGGTGCATACACATGATTCTCACGCTCAAACATCACTATTCTTGCCGTAGGGTAGTGTGAGGATCTGGGTCCTTTCAGTCAGCATGTCCAACAAGCGCATTGTTGGGTACCTTTTCATCACGGACTGATATTCATACACACCAGGACAGCATGGTGACTGCATTCAGTAGCACGCCGTCAAGTAACGATTGCTGTGATGGTTTGAATTACTACTCTTATTCAATACAGATGCGTGGTCGCCCAAGTGATGCTTTTCCACTTATCAAACGACAATTTACGGCGTCGGGCGTTACTGCTCCCGTGCTTCAAAGTCCTCAGGTTGCCTGGGGTATTCTTCTGAGGACTGTGGCGCAATGTTTTCGACTTCGGCCTTGGCTTCCTCCCAAGCGGCCTTGTTCCGTTTTGCCCAGTCGATGTGACATTGAGCGAATTCCATCTGTGGCTGTTAGCAAGAGTTCAAGGAAGAAGGTTGGGCTTGTGACATACCATGTAACGTCGTAAATCGTCCTCCTTCTCGCTCTGGAATCTCCGCAGATCCTTCATCACGCCTGAACTTGCGTCTTTGGTGTCTTTCTCAGCGACAGTCAGCGCTTGTTCGAGCTGCCGGTTCGTTAGCGTCTCAAAGTCTCTTAGTATCTATCATCTGAAGCATACCTGTACCATACTGTCCCTTGTCTTGCCGATCTGATCTCTCCGTGTCTTTTCAGGGTCTACATCTGCCATGCCCCTAAAGGCGTGTGTAATGGATCCAAAGAGCTTGTTAGTGACAAAGTTACCACTCGCAGTTTTCTTGTGCGGACTTGTGGGTGGTGAATGGCTATCAGGAGCGCCCTGTGCACTAGATGGTGTGTCACCATGTGTGGGTGGGAAGTCAGAATCAATGGACGCCCTGTCTTCCTCCGATCTCCTATGTTGCTCTGCATCGCCGCTACTGCGCTGTGAGCTGTTCGACGCAGCGCGACTTCGCGGCGGCTGATGACCAACGCCACTTAGGTGTTGTTCCAGTCGCTTCGATTCTGCTTCGCTACGTTCAAGCGATTCGAGTAAATTGCGCTTCTTCTCTAGTTCGTCCTTGGTCATATCCTCCTGTATCCGCTTGAGCACTCGATATCTTAGTGTCGAGCGTACAACACCGGCGAACTGTGCGCTCTCACGCATGGGCTCAGAGAAGCCTGCGCTGAGTGAAGAAGAGAGTTCGGTCGTCGCAATATACGTGGAATCAACGGCTTGGCCCGTCTTTTCTATGGCCGCGGCAAGAGATTGGGTTTGTTCGGAAAGCGAAAAGGCATTAAAGCGGGCGCCCAGATCCGCCATGTCCTCTCCCCAGTTTCCAAGATGCATAAGCAGGCGTCTGTTGACCTTCTCCATTGGTCCCTGTAGCAGGTGCTCCAAGTCTTTTGATGAGTTCTCAAAGCTGACAAAGTATGGGTCTAGCTCTTCCTCTGACATGTCCCGCGTCTCGGGAGGGAAGCGACCGAAGATAGCAGGACCTGGTGTTGTGTGCGCGGCCGCTGAAGGCATGGCTGCATTGTTGGCTGGTGATACTGGCGTACCAGAGCTGGATGTAGCGCCGCCTGACTTCAACTTGGCGGAAGACGAGGGAACTGGAAGGTAGCTGTGTGCTTGGGAAGGGTTCGCAGGGTCGAGCGGAGGTGCCTTGAGGATCTGTTTGGGTATATTGGAGACAGGCGGGCTAGTAAGTACGTCATTCTATCGAAACATGTTAGTTCAATAGGATGCTCGGTCGGGTGCTGGACAGGCCTACCCAGCTTGTGTATGGGTCGAGGAACCTCCAGAATACACCGTCTTCCAGAATATCTTTCATCTTCCTGCACCTATTTAAGAAGACGGCCAACATGCGCTTCCGCAGTTCTATGATGCCAGCGTCTTCCTTTGCCTTTGTCGGTTTCGCGGCGTAGTCGGCCATGGTATGCTTCTCGGGTATCGGCGGTACGATGAGCGTTGGGTGCAGCCTGACCAACTCGGCGCGTAACGATGCGAACTCGGAGTATCTGCGCTTTACTTCGAGGCCCTGCATGTGTTAATCTCAGGCATTCCCCGTCTGCCGATCTAACATACGCCGCAATTGATGGTGTACTGTATGTAGTTGACACCGTCCTTCCCCGCGCTCGTGATCAGTACCAGTTGGTCTGGGTGCTCGTACAGCCATTGTTCCACGCGCGCGTCATAACCACCCTTCTTGGGCGCCTTGGGGTCTGCATGGTCCTGCTGCTCTTCGTCATAGTCGACGCTATCCATGTCCCGCTGCGAGACATACTCGGGCGACTCTTGTGCGGGGGACGAAGCCTCAGAGGGCGGAGTCGCGGGACGGTAGGGGACTTGATCATGTCAGCGGATAGTGCTGGCGATTACTTCAGAGGGTGTGTAGAAGCCTTACGGGCAGCGGGCGAAGCTAAACCGGGAATGTCTGATGTGTTGGAATCATGGCGGGCAAAGGATCCATACGGATTGTTGTCCTCGTCGTCCCACATGTCGTTGCTGTAGTCGTCGCGCTCACTCTGGGGAAACAATGGTGGCTCCTATGGTAAAGCGAGCGGGTTCAGGCTGCAGTGAGTGCGGATCTTGTGTTGTGCGGCTTGGGCATGCTGAAGCTCCAGGCTCTCACGGCAGCGGCAGTGACGTTGCGCCTGGTCCAAGCTCACCCTGTCAGCCACACCTGCTGTTCCAGTCCGCGACCGCCGCGATACGGCCTTCAAGTCGCCGCGAACATGATGAACAGCTATGTCTATACCGCAAACAACATCATTTCACACATCACTTTGTTAGTAGCTAAAGTGCGTGGATACCTTTCCAAGTCTGTCAGCATGCTTTCTTAACCAGAAGCTACATTTGTCTTTCCGGCCAACTTTGACGCAAGATTCAAAGCTCACAGATAGAGCATCTGCACGAAAGCATCCCTAGTGGTGTGTGACTATGAATATGAGACCAGGTCTGATCTCTCGGTTTAGCCTAGCGCACATGCGCTGCCTACAACAGGGCTACTGGTTCTCAGCCTTCTGCTGAATCTCACATTCCTCATCATTTGCGTTTTTCCAGCCTCCTCCTTCTCTCCATCAGAGTTCGCATCACCATGAGACTGCTGAACACCAGATCTCTCGAATTCAGTTGTGTGTACGTTCCTAACAGAGTACCGGACTACGTAATCTTATCCCATCGCTGGGGATCAGAGGAGGTCACATATGCCGATATTATACAAGCTCCACTCTCCGAGCCAACAAGTGTGACACGCAACAAATCTGGCTTCTTGAAAGTACAGGGAGCATGTACACTAGCTCTTCAGAATGTATACGAGTGGATATGGATCGACAGTTGTTGCATTGACAAATCAAGCTCAGCTGAACTACAGGAGACTATTAATTCGATGTGGAGATACTACAAGGATTCGAACATCTGTTTCGCATATTTGGAAGACGTCGTGGATTCGGAAGCAGGCTGGGGCATTGATCAGCCTGTTGGCAAGAGCGAGTGGTTCACCCGTGGTTGGACCCTACAGGAGCTCATCGCCCCGCATAGCGTGGAATTCTACTCGTCAAGGTGGCAACATATTGGCACTAATCTTGAAAAATACCAGGAGATTGCAGACATCACTGGTATCGATCGCGGTGTTCTGTGCAATGATTGGCACATCTCGTCTTTCAGCACAGCAGAGAAACTGTCCTGGGCAGCTCATCGAGCAGTGACAAAGGAGGAAGATGAGGCCTATTCACTTTTCGGCCTCTTCGACGTCAATTTGCCACTACTCTATGGAGAAGGCCGATTGAAAGCTTTTTTTCGACTCCAGGAAGCCATATATGACACTACATCGGATCACACGGGATTCTTGTATCTCCACAGTCGCAATAGCCATCGCCATTCCCTCTTAGCGGAATCCCCGAGTCAGTTCTGTAATAGGAAGACCTGTAAACTCTGTCCCGTTCAGAAAGATGAGAATTATTCCCCGTATTTCTCGTATGCTGATCTGGTCGAATCAGAGAGGTGGCACACACAAGCGCACGAAAAGATCATGACTACTGTTACCACGCGGCGGAACGAGGTATCGACTGTGCTTTCATTACTGGACTACTCCGAGATCAAAGACAAATTGTCTTATTTCGACAAAGTCACATTCTGCGACAATCCCCCCACCCACGTAGCATTGCTGAACTACACGCTGTCGGCATACGAGGACGGCGCTCTTTGTCTTCTCCTACGACGGCACCCAGGATATGATGCCACGATGCGCGTGCAAGTTCTTCCAGCGTTGTTGCCTCGTGTAGAAGACCATATTGCACGGCAACTAAAGAAGACAAGGGTCCTCATCTGCCGTTCAGAGTCAAGCCTTACAGAAAGGGAAAACACTCGGTATATGGAGACCATTTTTTCAGTTGATTGTGGATCATTTCTCATAGACGCATTTTTTGCAGTAAGAGGAAGCATTGAACAGCAAACTGCCCAAGACGGCACCGGGAGAAAGGAAAGATTTCCACAAATAGATAACAACAAACATTTCAGAGTTCAGGCGGAGCCAGGTAGGTCGACGGTAGAATGGAAACTCGTCGTCATGAAAGACGAGACATTAATCATACGGTTGGTGCAAGAAGATCAGATTTGGTCAATAAGAGAGGTCCTCGCACCAAAAAAGAAGGGCAGGAGGGTTACACAGAGATTGCGGACGTCTCACAAGGCCAAGAAACCTACTGATCGATGTGTCGTAACTCTAAGAGACGGAGAACGCCTATCTGTGAAGCTTCGGCGATTGCCTGCCTTCGCACGTGGTCATGCAGATGGTCAGACAGCAAAGCTACGATACATGATTTCAGTCGAATCTGATGTCAAATAAGGCTAGATTGTGAAACGCTCATTAATCGAGATGGGCCCCTAGATAATCCTAAAGATGTAGACTTCCGTTTCAGACCTTGCTCTCTTTGCTGTCAGCGACGTAATGCTGTGTTGCATCTATCTCATCGCCCTCCAGGACTCCCGTAATTGTACCCAAGTTCTCGTGATCAAAGAATCCTTCATTGGCTGCCAATTCTTCAAACGCCAACTGCCTCTCCGTGCCTATCGGAAGTATCTGCACTGGCCAAATAAGACACAAGCTGTAGTACACCGATCCTCCCATCAGAAATGATAATATGAAGCCAAGTTTGTACATATTTTTGCTAGCCTCGGCTACTGAATCGGGATCCAAAGACCCTGCGACACCATGAACAGTGAACGCAACCCCAGCAATCCAAGCAGCCAGCATGCGCAAATTCCAGCCTTTGTAGTACGAGTATGGACTTTTAGGTGAAGAGGTGTATAACGAGGGGACGTGGAAATTGCCTCTTCGAACGAGCCAGTAGTCGACGATCATGCAAGCGCATATTGGCATCAAGAACACGGTGTACGATCCAAGAAAAGTCAGGAACGATGTAGCGGAGGCGATTATTTTCCATGGAACAAGTAGAGGCGCGAGAATCGCACAGAGTACCTGGCCTCGGACGATGGTCAGCCAGCGAGGGAAGATTCCTGTAAGATCGGCGCCAACAGGGAGCGAGTTGCTTCCGGCGTTGGTGACAAGTACAGCGAGCATCATGCCGAAAGACGCGAACACCATTCCTGCTCGAGCTCCAGGAGTCCAATATTGATCCAAGATGGCGTCATAGAGATCCCAAACGTTCCAGTAGCTTTTACCAAGGACTTGTGTTGCAGCTGCAGTCGTCGCTGTACTCAAGAACATGACCAGTACTTTGCTGATAAGGATACCTACACCCTGGCTCCAAGTCACATCGCTGTACGAATGTCCGTATCTTGCTATATCAGGTTGGTTGATGAGCACCGGTGCCAGAGCACCCATGACAGAGTTGATGGCTTGAATCATAGGCCAGATGAGATCCGAGCCCGAAAGCTGTGTCTGCTTAGTTGTATAGGTGAAGCTTCCGATCTTGCCTCCGTTGGCGCTGATCACCCACCCAAGTACACCGAAGAGTGCTATTGTGGTATAGACAGCTTTCACCACGAAGAGATGTCGAAGTACCGTCGGATGAATGAACATAACCGACATTTGTACCTGTCGAAATCAGCATGCTCCCTAGAGCCAGAACTCAAATAGAGAGTTTGGAAGACACTTACCATCCAAAACAAGAAGAAGCTCAGCAAATCTCTACTTGTGATTCCCGCACTCTCTGGAAGATGATTCGGAATATTGTTGTAACCGTTCCCGAAGATGCCGCGCATGAAAACCGACGTGATGCGCCCTCCATAGTACGTCTGGGTCGCGAAGTAGATAATCGCTACTACTGCTCGTACTAAGATATACAAACTGGCTCCTCTCACACCAGCAGCCGCACGTACATAGACAGGGAAGCCGATGAAGTATTTTATAGCGCCACGACTGTTGAGCACGACCAGAATGGTGAGAATGGCTGAACCGATTACCGCAGCAATCATGCCGTGCCACCAGAGAAGACCAATCGAGACTAGAGATGCACCAAGGTTGTACGAGGAGGGGCTGAATGTCATGGTCAAATAGTAGGCAAAGTAATGTTGCCATCTCCATTTCCTGTCCGCTGCATCCTGTCAGTCGCAAGCTTCACAGAGTTGGGAGATATGGTGCGACTTACCTGGTGGACTGGGGAGGAGATCCTGGTTATACCGCACTTCTCCATGATCGCTTGTAGTTTGCAATGTCTCCTTGAACGATTTTGGAGAACTGAATGCTGCTTTGCTTCGCTGCAGAAAGCGCGACATGGCGGTCAAGTGAGAACTATCCCCAGATCGAGATCAGTCCGGACGCCCATCTCGTGCGAAGCTCCGGAGCATATAAGCCAGTTCATTGTTGATACAGATTGCATATCTTGCCACAATGATAGCCAAGCCATCCTATCAGCCAGGCATCTATTTCCACTGGAATCCAGGGTGTTAGAAAGACGGCATAGAACTCGGTTGATAAGGCGATAACGCATCGGGATGAAAGAAGCCGATTGACAGGGCAGGGTAGCTAGTGCACTAACCAGCACTGGTAAGGGTTAGCGCGATGTGCATCTCCAGGAAGAAGGCTGGTGTTTCGTGATGCGACGCGACGCGACGCGATAATCTTTGTGCACCATCGATGCGTGGTCGCGAGCGAGTCTAGCACGTCATTGTGCTTTGCACAACAAGCTTCCTTTTCGTTGCACTTAGCTCGAAGACTCGGTATGTGCTGGGGAAACCAGCATAGAGCAATGACATCATCGCACATCCTGTTCTTTGAACCCTAAAAGAGTACGTGGATATTGTACCATTAGGTTTATATCATTGACGCGCTCATAGTAAGTTCTACGAACCACCAGTCTTCGATCCGGGCTTGTACGGAAAAGTCTGGCGATAGTGATTTGCAATATCTCTGCGGGTCGCGACCCAAACGCCTTCCTTCTCAGAGATATACTTCATAAAGTTCCTCAGACTCTCCGATCTTCCTGGCTTACCAGCTATTCGGGAGTGCAGAGGAATCGTCATCATTTTACCGCCTTCTCTATACAAACAGTCGAATGTATCTTTGAGATACTGCTCATAGACAGCACCAGCTGAGCTTACAAAGCCTGGAAGCATGTGGAACTTGCCATCGTTACCTGTACCACCTTGTTAATTTGGAATAACCATACATGTGGAGTGTGTTTACAATCGTAGTTGTACGGCATCATCAATAGGCCCTCCTTCTCCATGTCAGGCAGTTCTTTCTCCCATGGCAGATCAATCCAGTATGGCGAGTCTTCGTTGTATACTTCGGAAGTATACAGCATCTTATGGCCCATCTCCTTCCACATGATTGGAAGCAGGCTAGCGGTATTTGGGGTTCCTCTACCAAAGTACGCTCCTACTGGAAATTCACCTGTGGTCGCATCAGTTCCATGCACGATCGTTATTGTGCGAAACATACCAGTTGCGGCCTCCAGAGCTTTACAGGTCTTCTTGATATAAGCTTTGTCGTCTTCAAGCGAATAATCCCAAATGTCAAGCCATCTATACCCATGGGCACCAATCTCATGGCCTTCTCTTACACATGCCTTCGCGAACGTTGGGTTTCTCTCCATAGCAACAGCGATGGCCCAAAGAGTCATGTTCCAGCCGAATTCCTTCATGAGGCGAAGTATCCGCCAAGCACCGCACCGACTGCCATACTCGTAGTCTTGCTCGCCGTTCAAGTGTCGCTGTTCTCTACCGCCGCCAGAAGGACCTTTCTCCCACAGGTAGGGTTCGCTGGTGCCATCGCCATCCAGTGGGTTGCGCTCGCCTCCTTCCTCGTAGTTCAACACGAAGGAGACTGCAATGCGGGCACCGTTTGGCCACTGTGCGTCATGGCCATCTTCACCAAAACCTGGAAGAATGCTCAGTATATGTGAGAACGCACGCTCTATGGGCTCGCACCTTCGAAATCTCTGGGGAGTTGTAGAGATTCCTCGACGTGGACCATGGCGGGCAAATTCACGAAACAATGACAAAGCCTGATGTTAATACCCAAGAATGAACATACACTCAAAGTATATCAAGCTTCGGGAGTGGTATCAAAGTATGGAATGTTTCAAGGTCCACTCCACACTAATGACCCCGAACTGATATCACACCATCCTGATTGCATCCTAAATGAGTTTCCCTCCACCTATCAATTACCTATCAACAACGGCGTTTCGATTAGAATACAATCAAGACATTTTTAGGTAAAGAAAGCACTGTCAGTTGGGTCTTTATCGGAAGTGGCCATTCCGACGACGATCAAATAGGCGTCCCACCAACCCCGCTTTGCCCTTATCGTTCCTTCCAACTTCGGAAGCCCACTCTAACAACCGTCAACGCGGCCGAGATTATTGCAAGCATGCGTTATCGGTACATGGAGATGCTGAATCATGTGTCACGACTGTTTGTGTTCCAGCATCTGGTAGATGGACCGCAATGGGCTTGCGCGCCTCCGATACTGGAATGGATAAACGGGCCCGCGAGACAGTTAGCTATTTGATGCCATACTGGCATGTACATGTGAACGTCACTGAGAACTCCAAGTCCCTGTTCTCTTACACAAAATGTCGGTTTTTTCGTTAGATGCAAGCCACGGCAATCCGGTCACGAAAGAGACACTCGAAGCACTATGCTCCCAGCTTGGGGTCAACATCGATGATAAAGAGAAGGAAGATTATCGTCGTTTGCTTGCTGTATTCCACGATGCAAGCGAACAATTGATGGCCATGGACGGTAGGGCATGACTGTTCTCTCTGCATATCGAAGTGAAGCTGACGTTGGTCTGTAGACTATGTCCCAATAGTTGACAAAGAACGCTTTTCTAGAGAAGACATCTACTTCCCGGAGAAATCTGACAATGCTCATGGAGCGTGGGCATGGAGATGCAACATTGTTGACAAGAAAGCCAAAGGCAATGGTAAACTTCATGGTAAAACGTTTGCTCTGAAAGACAATGTTGCAGTGAAAGATGTCCCAATGCTACTAGGCACGAATTTCATCAAAGGATATGTTCCAGATGTCGATGCAACTGTCACTACACGTATCCTAGAAGCTGGTGGTCAGATTCTCGGTAAAGCTGTTTGCGAAAACATGTGTCATTCTGCGACAAGTCATTCGTCAGGCACTGGAGTAGTGGAAAACCCGTTCGCCAAGGGTTATAGCGCTGGCGGAAGTTCGAGCGGCTCGGGTGTACTTGTAGCACTGGGGGAGGTTGACGGAGCGATCGGTGCAGACCAAGGTGGTAGCATCCGCGTCCCAGCCGCCAACTGCGGGATCATTGGATTGAAACCTACCTTTGGCCTTGTACCATATACGGGATGTGGAAGTAACGAGCCCACAAACGACCACGTTGGCCCAATGACACGAACAGTGCTCGAGAATGCCGTGTTGCTGGAAGCCATCGCTGGCACCGATAACATTGACGACCGTTCCTTCGCTGCTCCCCATCCATCCAAGATACCCATCTACAGCTCCATCAACAATCTCCCCAAGCAAAAACCACTTCAAGGCAAAAGCTTCGCCATAATCACCGAATCTCTTTCAACACCTGCCCTAGACTCACGAGTGATCCAAACATTCCGCACCGCTGTCTCCAAATACACAGACCTCGGCGCCACGGTCACGGAAATTTCGATACCACTTCACTCCAAAGGCGCTGCGATATGGACCGGAGTATCAAAAGTCGGCGGCTTCCTCGCCAAAACCACCGGTTCATTCGGACGCCGCGGACACCAGATGCTCGATCTAAACTCGTTGTTACATCCCATGGGCCAGGAAAACTGGAATGAAGCCTACGCCTCGACAAAGAATATATACTTGAACGGTCTCTACGCTACGCAAAAATTTCCCAATCTCCTCGCCAAGGCGACTAATCTGTCTCGACAATTGCGTGACGCTTACGATATGGCGCTCCAGCAATACGATATCTTGCTTACGCCTACACTGCCTTATGTAGCGACGAGTCATGCAAGTGTCGATGCGACACCGCTCGAGCAGATTGCGAAACAGATTGGATTGACGTCCAACACGGCGCCATTCAACCAAAGTGGGCATCCAGTATTGGCCATGCCGATTGGTATGTTGCCGGTACTAGAAGGACCTGGAGTCGAGGAAGGGATCAAGTTACCGGTTAGCATGCAGGTCATTGGGAAGTGGTGGGATGAAGTAGGTGTTTTCGAAGCGGCGTTTGCGTGGGAGAGGGAGAATGACTGGAGAGGTATGTGATACGTTATTGTACATGGTCGGCCAGGAGAATACAGGAAATATACGACGTTTCCCCCGACTCTGAACCCATCCTCTAGATCTTAAGTCGCCATATCACCGTGGAAGTGGGATGACCTGTTCACTCACCCGTTGCTGATCGTTACTCGTTTCAACAAGTTCGCTGCCACTATCCTGCCTTCCTATCACCTCCACCTTTTCCATAACCTCATCTGGTCTTTGCAATCCCCTATCCTTGATGAAAAAGCAGCCTAATAAACACAGTCCCATGAAGGGTACATTCATTATGAATACGGTGCGGCTCGCTGTCGCATACGCTTGCAATATCTGCACTATTTGTTTTGGATCTAGTGATGCAAAGTCCGGCGTATCATATGAAGAAAGTGCCAAGAAGTGGAATTCTTTCGGCATAGCTCGGTGCAAGGAATTTTGCAGTGCAGCAGCAGAAATTGCAAGACCGACTGCACCGCCGAGACTGCGTATGAAGTTGCGGTTTGAGATGACGACTGCGCGTTGGGCTTTCGTGCAATGTGCTTGCAGTGCAACAAGTACTGGCTGGAAGACGGCACCGACTCCTAGTCCTTGGACAAAAAGTATGACGACTATAGCCCAAATGGGTATGTCGCGGTTGAACATGCATGTCAAACCTACACCTAAAGTCCAGAGGAAGAACCCCAGCCAGATCACTTCGCCGTAGCGCTCGAAGCGCGAGATATATTGTCCGGATAAAATTGAGGAGATCATTTGTGAGGCGGTGAGTGGCAGCATCGGGGACGCCGACATGACGGGAGAGAGGCGGCGTGCGTTCTGGAAGAAGAGGGGCAGATAGTATGTTTGCGAGTAGGCCACCACGCCAAAGAGGAAATTCTGGAGAAGCATGATGGAAACGGGGCCGGATCTGAAGAGAGACACTGTCTAGCATCAGCAATGATTCGCAAAGAGCATGTGTTTCGTAATAGGGCGACCAGAGCTTACATGGCATCATAGGCAATATAGCTACACGGTGCTCAATGTAGACGAACGTTATCATGCAACATCCTCCAATCGTTAACATGGCAACAACCATTGGTGATTCCCACTCGAAGTAGTCACCTCCTCCCGCAATAGGAATCAACAGCAATATCAGCCCTGCACTTCCGAAGAATATGCCTCCATAGTCAATCCTCTTCAATACTAGCTTCATATCCGCTCTTGGTTGTTCCTTGGGTGTAGGCAGAACAACAAGACAGAGCATACCGCAAGCTGCTGACACGGGGCTGACGAGCCAAAAGAAGCCTCTCCATGTACTCTTTTGTACAAACGCTGCAGCGATAAAAGGCCCAGATATGTTTCCTAGTCCTACACATGCACCTATCATGCCTTGCCACTTCCCGCGCTCTTTCAAGGTGACGATGTCGGAGACGATCATGGCAGAAAGCGAGGCTATCCCGCCGTTTGCCACACCTGATAGACCGCGGAAAACGTACAGCATCGTTGCGTCGCGCGAGAGACCACAAAGGAGGTCGGAGACTGTTAGAAGGGCAAGTGCTGAGAGGAGGACAGATTTCCTGCCTAGTTTGTTTGTTAGCTATTTTGCTTCCTTCACATTCCCGCCAAAGCCAGAGGACATACCAAATAAGTCACTCATCCTCCCATACAGCACTTGGAATATAGTGTTCGCTATCAGCGCACTCGTGCCGGCCCAACTGATCGTATCTTCGGCATTTAGATCACGTCCAATTGTGGGCAGGGCAACCCCGATACCAGTCTGGTCGACAAAACATATGAAATGCGATAATGCGAGTGCGGAAAATACGACGAGGAGCTTCTTGCGGGGGAGGAGGTTTGTTTGATCGAAGACAGCAGCTTCAGCTGCAATCTGGCGAGCCTCCATGGCGTAGTAGCAGGTGGTGTGATGATGTTGTAGAAAAGGCGTGGTGGTGCAGGAATATGCTGTCAGGCCATCCACGTTCTTGTTGTCCGTCTTTAAAGAGAAAAGTGCGATGGCCGGCAATACAGATTGTAGGATGCAAAAAACACCGCGTGTTCATTGCGCAAGGGCTGCTGTGCAAATACGCCGAATATCATGGAAAACATGGTGTATGGAATCCAGTCGGGTCATCCACCATAATCGCGATATGGGACATCTTCGTCATCATGAGTACTCCATACATGGCCATCATATCCGTCGTTGTTGGTGAATAGCGCGGAGACGATGCCGGCCTATGAGAAGGATGACCTTACAAGACTATGCGGTTCATGACTGTTTGCAGTTGCCAAGAGGGTCTAGGGAACCATGGAATGTCGACATGTTAGAATTATTTCGGTACAAGTAGATTCCAGCGGTCCGACCCTATGGAGCTAAGGCGTACCTGCAGCGAGTATAACCATTCTGGCGATTTGGAGGAGATCGCGTGGTGAGAACCCTGAATGTCGCTTCCATGGTCAGTGTCGGTCTGGACCGAACGATAGCCCGTCACATCAGCACGAGTGGACCAGGGCTGAATTAACAGTCATATATATTTCCTTGTCCTACACTAAGTACTGGCCCTTAAACGCTCATTTCGAATCGCTAGCGTACATGGTAGAAAATCCTCTGATATGGGTGGAGAGTGCAACGATGAAAGCGAGACAGTATGCTGCTCTCCCGTGTACACTTTGAACGCAAATAAATGCATAAATGAAATGGAACAAGGCTAAACAATTGGAAAGCACCGCGAGTGGCCTGAGCATAGACGTACCTCCGGTAAAAAACCACCCGTTTCCGAGAACACCGAGCTAAACAAAATCCTAAACTAACACTTATGCCAGAAAGTTTGGAAGGCCGAGGCCGTGGTATCATGTAGAGAGTTTGACCGATCGTGTGTAGTAGTGACTCCACGCACGATGTCTAGATATATCCAGAAGACCTAAAGCCGCGAGCGACGAGTACTTCGTGACTCAGCCACGAGCGCGACCACTGCGTCGGACAATGGGAGTACCGTTGGTAGCGGGAGTAGGCGAGGAGACCGCTGTAGCACCATTGACCTTTGCCCTGGTCGCCTTGGCTTTGGTCGCACTCTTTACAGACTTGGGCGGTGTGGCTTCCTTGATCGGCTCGGCAGCTTTGCGTTTCTGGACAACCGGTGATGACTTGGCGCCATTCGTCTTAGTAGCGGCTCTCCCTCTCGTAGCTCTCTTCGCTGGTGTAGGCTCGGGCTCAGGTTCTGGGGATGGCTCTGGATCTGAAAGGTCAGACTGTTCAGCAGCAGTTTCTTGGTCTTTCTCAGCCTCGACTCCTGCATCATCCATCTCTACATCTTCTTCAGCAACAGGAGTAGGCTTGTCCGCTCCTGCTGCGTCTGATGTATTAGCCTCTTCTTCTTCCTCTTCCTCTTCCTCTTCCTCTTCCTGGACCTCTTGAGCACCGGCTCCGATGTCTTCCTCATCACTCGATACCTCGACATAGCTCTTATGCACAGTACTTCGTCGATCGCTCTTTCTCCGTGGACCACTTGATGGAGCGACGCCACCATCAACGTCACTCGCATCATCATCGTCGCCAGCTCTCCTCTTTTTCTTTGGTGTTTTGACGGGACGCTCTGTCCTAGCCTTTTTTTCCTTGATCGGTCTGTCGCCCTTGGTCTTCTTGCGCGACTTCTCTACACCATCTGATGCCTTGCGCTTCTTGCTTCGAATAGCTCTCCGCACAAGGGGTTCGAGTTCGTCAACCAAATCTTCCCCAATCCATGTCTTTTTAGCGATCTCCTGCGCGCGATCGTGACTCTCCAGAGGTCGGAAGATACCGGAGGGCAACTTCATTTTCCCTGGCCATGATTGCATTGTCCAGTTGTTTTGCTCTTCCCACGATCGGATGAGAGCCTGTGCTAGATCTGACAAGATATATAGATTCTCGTCAGCTTGGCGCGAAGGGGCAATACCATCCGCAACACCCTTGACGCGCTGAGCCACGTGGAAGATAAGTGACAGGTTTTCCTCGGTCGCCACGCATTTCAGGTAGTACAAGATATACTCTGACATGAGTTTCAGTGTCTCGTCTTCTGTGTCAAAGTCTGGGTGGTGAGCAAGTAGACTCAATAAACGAGCGAACACAGTCTCCAGTATGGTCTCTTTTCGTGCAGCAAAGGCGGCGCGACGTGCACGGATCCAGGTCATAGTGCTGTTTTTGATAGTTTTCTCAGGCTCATGTGCGAGGAAGAACAGGATAGTGTAGAATCGGGGCGGCAAACGACCCTGACCAAGGTACTTCATCAGTTTATCAGCGAAGCCCTTGCGCACTTGCGTACAGGGGTCGTGTGTGACCAGGGCTAGCTGTATAAAATCGGCGGGGCTCAAGAAAGGATCGAGGCGCTTGTTGCAGGAAAGCTTGAGTAGGGAGTTAGCGGCAAGAAGACGCTGGCGCGATTTGTGTCCTGCTGGAGTGCTGTCATCCGCTGCGCTCTCGCCATTGTTCTTCACATAGCGATTTAGCAGCTTATATGTGTCTTCCGCAGCATCCTTGAAGTTGGCATCGGATGGTAGGGAGCGTAAGCGGTTGACGAGGATCTTGACTGCCCAGGACCTTCCTTGAATGTCGTCGTCTGGGACCTCCATCCATTCAGCATCTGCATCGGCCGTCGCTGCATGCGGTTTCTGCAGAACTTCCTTGATGGCGATCTCAACGATGGCATCCATATCATCCTCGCAACCTGACTGGGCCAATAGAACTAGTTGACTGAGTGCAGCCAGCTTTGTGAGCCAGTGAGCACCATCGTATTGGAAGCTTTTGATGCTCTTGGTAAGTATTTCCTTCGCATGCATTTCCTTCTTGTCGTCGCTGTTCATGATAATAGTGATCGCATGCTTTGCTGCCTGTGGAGGGCTGCCGTAGAACGCAAAGTTCAAGAAGCTCTGTACCAACTTTCGACTGTCTTTGCTGTTCATCGGTATGTCTGTAGGGAATTTCTTTGCAAATGCAGCGCAGGCCTTGAGATCATCAACCGCACCAGGAGGGTTGGGCCTCGTTGCCGTGGGTGCTTCACTTT